AAGATTTTAGAAAAAAATAGAGATAATGTTGTTTGAGAAAGAAAGTTCTAGACCTCTTTAAATATGACGTAGTAACCAATGAATCTAATATCGTCTTTTTCAGCGAAAATAATATTAAACTAATAAAATAAGTATTGTTTTATGAAATATTCAATTTTTACAAGCATCTAATTAATTCAGACTGTTGTTTAAAATCATATTGGGATACTCTACATTCAAGAGTTTGCTGTGCTTATTTTAAAATCATTTTTCGCAAATAAACCTTTCTTTCAGAAAAATAATATTAGATAGGTGGCGACGTCACATGACTTGAAAAGTACAATTACGAATGTTGCCTGAGGATTATGAACTGTAAATAAGTTTGTTAAAAAAAATAGGTGGCGAAATTAATATGTATGGATCTTGTGTCGTGAAAAATACGAATTTAATCGAAAATATGGCCTAAAGATTCTGTGTTTTATACTGTTAAAGATTAGCTTCTAACCCTAAAGTAAAGTAAAGTAAAATATTCAATCTGTAAACGCTGTATAGTCAGATATTTCCATTTAAATATAAAATTCAGGTTAAACTCTAGCGAATTATATTGCTGTTAATATTACAAAAGCTCTAACGAATTATCTAGCTGTTACAAAACTATAACGAATTAGTTTGTTTTTGAAGTTCGCTCAAAGCTACACGAGGGCTATCTGCGCTAGCCGTCCTTAATTTAGCATTGTAAGATTAGAAGGAAGGCAGCTAGTCATCACCACCCACCGCCAACTCTTGGGCTACTCTTTTACCAACGAATAGTGGGATTGACCGTCACATTGTAACGCCCCCACGGCTGAAAGGGCGAGCATGTTTGGTGGGACGGTGATTCGAACCCGCGACCCTCAGATTGCGAGTCGAGCGTCTTATCCACCTGGCCATGCCGGGCTTTTCAGGTTAAAAGAATTGCGTTAACCTGTAAGATTTTGGGATCTATAACTTCGCTTCTAAATATGTATTATACAAAAGGTTTGGTGGAAGTTTCTTACAGTTAGATTCTCCGTGGATTTTAAAAATATTCTTCCGATTTTTATTGTTTTTGAAACTGACATCCAAAACTTCAATCCAGGAAATTAGATTCTAAACAACGATTAATCTTTATTTGTAATCTTGGAAAACGTATTTCGAGTTATGTTTGAAAAACATTTTTAACGATTATTGGCTGTAAACACATTTTTGAAACGAAATCAAAGAAATACCCATGGCATTACCTGCTGTAAACTGTTAACTGTTAAACATACATGAAGCAAATACACTTTGAGATCCTGGTTT